TTACTATGACAGACATAATCAGAGCAGGAATCCATACTTCACAAAATATAGTTAAAATATATAAAACCAAGAGAAAACGTGATTGGCTACAATCATAGTCACATCTTTATACACATAACTTCGCGATATTAATGAGGCATCCCATGATTTAGTCGGCTACTTCAACCTTGCTCAACTTATCTACAAACGAGTGAAGTTACTTTCCGAACGGGAAGTGCAGCTGTTTCCTTACATAGCTAAGCAAGTATACGATCCTCTAATGTTGAATCAAGTTTAGGCTTGTGCCATTGTCTATTCGGTGCATGCAATGCAGCCTCCTTTTATTCAGTGGCTCTTCCTGCCTTATAACAGCCTTATCAAGATTGAGCGTCCAAAAATTCTCTAAACGAGGGGACTACTGAACATAGTGCTAATTTTTCTTTATAAATTGTCTTTATGTTCCACATCTTCAGTAGATCATTCAACATTTTTGCAAGCCGACAGGAAGTCAAAATCAGAAGAACATTGTAAAGCTACACTCTTTAATTAGAAATATGACGAAACTTTGGCAGATCCTGTCCGAGTCTCTTACTTAGGAAGTCTCCCTTAAGCTCCAAAGAATTTCAGAGAGTTTACATGACAAAGTTTTTACACAGCTTAGAAAGACAAAAGATAAAAAATTCCAAAATGTGGGTGTAAGACTTAGCTGAAGGAAACGGCCCATATCTAATGAATTGAAGGGTAAGAAAAGCCGTTGTCAAAAAAGTGGTAAATATGTCCAATACCTCATTGGACATTTCTACTGAGGAAGTCCTAGCACAGGGCTTAAGCTTTGCCTTTACAAATGGTATAATTGATAAATTTAACGGATAGTTTCCCAGCGGATACTAGGAGTGACATCGAATTAAAAGTTGTATCTTTAATTGATGACCATGTATAAGTACCATATAAAATTAGAGCAGTTAATATCAGTGAAGGAAGATTAAGGCGACTTACGAATTAGTATTAAAGGCAAATAAAGGAAGAGTAGGAGTAGTTATTTACAGGATTGATTATGTAGAGAAAATGTTAGAGGCAGTAGAGAATGATACAACAAATAAAACTATAATTAGGGATCCGATATACAGCAATCCACCTTTGATGAAAACAACTTTTGTAAAAGCAAGGATATGTGAAATTCAATGGAAACGTCAGCTCAACTCATAATTGTGGGAAAATTCTACTACCGGTCCTTCATCACCTTAAACGAAATAGGGTGAATGCATCTCATATAACTGATTTACTGGTAGTCTCGAAACTATTAATCTACGAAAAATAAGTGATGTTATTGCCAAAATACCTTTGTTTCCTCGACAATCCTACCAAAGAATGTGATATAGGAAAAGGTATGGTCTTCCTTGACATTTATATCTGCCCTGTGACCCAAGGGAACTCGTGGGAATGTGGCCGAGTGGTTAACGTGTCAAGCACACATGCTACACTGTCACCGTTCGATTCCACCTAGAAATGTTGATAAGACCTATGCGAGGTCGAAAAATAAAGTCTTAAGGTCTTCTGCAACAATGTCTAGACAGTGGAGAACTGGAAAAGTAGAAAATGAACGCACTTATTCCGCAAAATGCTAGACCCCCAAACGCATCTGATCTGCCCACCACTTGAAACTGAAGGAGTATTGCCGTCTAGGAAAGACAACATCACGAATTCCTTCTTACCAACTTCCCCTGCAAAATGGAAAGTCATTTCACTTAAGTCACAATGTTAATTAATGTAATCGGCTGTTTTGCGTTGAAGACAATTTATATTATTGCATCAGCAAACTTTATATTTGTATCTCTACTACAGAAACAAGTGCAACACCAATATCATAAACAAATTAAATACTTAAAAGAATATCAATGAAATCGAACTGACCGACTTATGAGCTCGACACTTGGCCAAGTGCTCGTGAGGAAGGCTGCAGTCTTCTTGAAGCAACACCGAAGGCGTATGCCCCCTTTCACAACTGAACTCTTTGGTGAGTGATCCAGCACGCTGAATAACCTTGCGACGCATGGGGTCATGGCGAGAGAAGGGGCTCACTGGGGGAAGTCGGCCTCGAGCAGAGGCTGGCTTCAGGGCACCAAACTCAGTATTTGGAGAAAGCTTTCATCATAAAAAGAATAAATGCGGGGGTAAAAGCGGAAATAAAATATGGATGGAAAATAATTTTCAAGGCCAACCAAAGACGTTTTGGCTTGAGTTTTTAAGAGAGCGACCATAGTGCATTTGTGATTGAGGAAGCAGTCTCAAGATTTTAAGTGGCAACCTGAGTTAATCGGCATGCCCTAAGCTAACAGTCCCAAAATATAAGGGCAAGACCATTGAAGCGCCAAGGTTACGAGTAGGTAGGCAAATTGAATTGTCTTCGAACTTGACACTGTTATATGTAGTTCTAATATCAACGATATCAAAGAAAATATCAGTACTATTGAGCTGCCATCACTTCAAATGCAATAACAATATGAGTTGGATCGCGAAAAACGTGTCAGAGCCATAGTTTGCAGTTGTATAGTTTGGCCCAAGGGTTCGTTCCAGTAATATGAGGCTCAGATAATTAATACTCCTAAATATAAAAATGGAAAGTGATAGATGTTTTAGGGGATAGTCATCAACATATTTTA